TGAAGGGGCTGCTCCAAGAAACAGATATGACTGAACGGAAGAAAAAAGGATTTACCAAAAGACAAAGAGTTAAGACTGATGGGAATAAAAGCCAACTAGATCCAACATTTTTTTTTGTTTGCCCTTATAGATGGTGAAACAATAAGTTCATACTTTCCTGATCCATCAACTGGAATTTCCTACTCTGCCAGGCATACAGAACATATTGTATGGGAGAATATGGTGGGAGAATATGAAATTAGTAGTCTCTACGGTATACAAAGAAAACATCTACAAGATGATATACAGGTGGCATCTTCCCCCCAATAGACTAGCCAAAATGTTCAATGGACAGTCTGCGGAATGTTGGAAATGTGGGTTTGAGCGTGGCACCTATTACCATCAGTGGTGGACGTGCCCGAAAGCAGTAGAATTCTGTGGGAAAATAAAAAAATGGCTGAATGAGATTTTAAATCAAAAGATCGAATGGCGACCAGAGACATGCCTGCTCGGCTCCAAACCGGAAAGTATTAAAAGAGACTTATGGTATCTTGCATTACACATCATCACAGCAGCGAGATTGGCGTATGCTCAACTTTGGAAAAATCAAAATATCCCATCAGAGGAAGCTATTATAAAGAAGATTTTAGACTGTGCAGAAGCAGATAAATTGACTAAAAAATTAAAAGACAGAGACCAAACACAAATATGTTTATCTTGGGAAAAATTCTATAGGTGGCTAGAGAAGAGGAAAATATAACCCAAATTAGATGAGGAATTATATCTATCGAGAAATTTATATTATACAAGTAAAAGTGAGGTCGGATAGACCTAATTGTTTTATAAAGATATGCAAGATGTTCTGTCTTCTCCGGATTATGATATAGATATACAGTACCGAATACTAGGTTATTAAGGTACTGCTTATAGATATGCTTGCTTTTTTTGTTTTCTTTTCTTTTTTTGTTTGTTGCTGTTGTGTTGTCTTGTTTGTTATTTATATGATGTGTTGTTCTTCCTTTGTTTTTAATGGAAAATGTAAATAAAGATTATTTTAAAAAAAAAAGAACATACTGTCGTAGGAGTGTAGTTGAATAAGATATAAAGTATGTGTATAGAAAGGAACATACTCTGCTAATAGAAAAGCACATTTACAATTCATGCCTGTACCATTTTGTACTTTTGTCAACCTTTTAAAGTAATATAGCAGTGATGATTCATCCATTGCTGTATAAGTCTTTTAAATGGATGTCTGTAGGTTCCATTTTTAAATGTCATGAGTTAGCAAACTATTGTTCAAGGAGGTTTTAGAAGAGTAACCACAGCTTCTAATTCAGCAGTACTCCCATGTACTGTAGCTTTAGCTAGTTCAAAAAGACTGCAACTGTGCAGTTGAGTAGGATACAGTCCACATTACAACAACAAAAATTATGCAAAATTCATCTCACTCTCATGCAATGAAGGGTGAAAGGCTCAAATGACGACTGCATTCTATTTTAAAATACAGTATGAAAAAGGACAACAAACTCGATTTTGCTTTATTATAGACTATTAGCTGCAAGTGTACTAAAGACATTAAATGAATATTAGGGCTGTGTAAAAGCTTTGGATGCTTTTCATGGGCACACTTTGAGAAGAAGCAATGCTCCTTTCTATACTGCTTTATGGGAAATGCAGGTCCTTATTTTGAAACAGTGAATTACCACATTACTCCATGTCATGTTATTCCATTGCCTTCCCTGGGTACTTCCTGTAGCCAGATGAGCCTTCTGTACATGTCCTACTTGCCAGTTTGGGCTGTGCAAAGTAATCATAATTTGCCTCATTGTATTCAGTGGTCGGTTTCAAAAAAATTTACTACCAGTTCTGTCGGTGTGGCTTGGTGGGCGTGGCATGGCTTGGTGGGCGTGGCAGGGGAAGGATACTGTAAAATCTCCATTCCTACCCCACTCCAGGGGAAGGTTACTGCAAAATCCTCATTTCCTCCCGATCAGCTGGGACTTGGGAGGTAGAGAATAGATGCGGGCAGGGCCAGCCAGAGGTGGTATTTGCTGGTTCTCCGAACTACTCAAAATTTCCACTACCAGTTCTCCAGAACTGGTCAGAACCTGCTGAATACCTACCTCTGATTATATTGCTCTCCACCACTCCATCTCCCTCCTCTGCCTTGTCTGGTATCCAGAAAAGGCTCCTGCAGAAATGTTACACATGCACAGAATTTTCTTTTCATGCTTCCATTTTGTTACTGGAAGTATCATGAGATGCTTTTGCCACAGTGCACGAAAGTCTTTTCAATTGATGGGACATAACCCTGGCTTTCTCAGACAGGCCCAATGAATACTCTTTAAAGTTTTCAGAGATCTGCTCTGAGCAAATGTCAATATCGCCACCTCGGACCCTGACACTCCAATCTTCCATCTACAACAGTGATGACTGTTGTTGGGAAAAAGAGAACTCGTGTGGTGCAATTATTAAACTCGGCTGGGAAGACCCAGCAATGGAATCTCACAAGGTGACTTGGGAGCAGTCACTCGCTCAACCCAATCGATCTCACAGTTGTTATATGGGAAAAAATAGAGGAGGAGATACTTACATATACCCCTTTGAGCCACTGGAGGATAGACAGGATATAAATGTAGCAAATAAATAAATGCCTGGTAGCAAAATTACAATCTTACGCCATCATTACAGCTTTCAGGGAGAATTTATATGCAGGAGAAATGACAACTTGACAGCCAAGAAGTTTTCCCCTCATACTAATAGCTCTTTTTTTTTTTTTTTTGGAAAATAGTTAAGAAATGCACAAAGTAAGAATGTTGCTAGCATAGCACTGAATAAATGATGATTATTGTCTCTTTTTCTTGGCCGATTGGTTGGTTGGAGGGAGCTCTAAATGCTTATGGAATTCCCTGCTTATTCTCAAGGTTCTTTAATCAGCACAGCTTGAGACATTTGTGTTTCCAGCTGCAAAACAACTGGACCAACTGGAAAGTGGAAATGATGTCATGGAGCAAAGTTTTGAATTTAACTTTTGCAATATATTCAAGTGAATATGTAGGTTGCTTGTTATCCTGATAGTGTGTATTCATTTTCTCGGAAGTGTCCTTTATACAGGTCTGATGTTTTACGTTTCTTGATTACTAATAAACTCTGGCAGTTTGGCAGTCTTAAGACTACAATTTAAGTCTAATCTCTTTGTTTAGACTATTTATCCAGTGCATTTAAAATATCCAAAATTATTCATATGTTTGCCTAAAGTTCATGTCTATGCTTTGGTAAACTGATGTTGAATAGGACTAATTCTATTAAGAATAAGGTAACGGTAAAGGTTCCCCTTGCACATATGTGCTAATAGTTCCCGACTCTAGGGAGTGGTGTTCATCTCCATTTCAAAGCCGAAGAGCCAGCGCTGTCCGAAAACATCTCCGTGGTCAGGTGGCCGGCATGACTAAACTCCAAAGGTGCACCGAATGCTGTTACCTTCCCACCAAAGGTGGTCCCTATTTTTCTACTTGCATTTTTTACATGCTTTCAAACTGCTAGGTTGGCAGAAGCTGGGATAAATAATGGGAGCTCACCCCATTAAATGGCACTAGGGATTCGAACCACCGAACTGCCGACCTTTCGATTGACAACTTCAGTGTCTTAGCCACTGAGCCACCGCTTCCCTTCTTCTATTAAGAATAGGTGATACTATATCACTCAGTCACACTGAATTAATTAAAATTGAATGTTAATTATACACGATTGTAGAGTGGTTTCATCATAACCTAAAAGTAGCATTCAAGAGCTTTTGTACTTTGTAAATTTCTGCTCAATCCTAAGTATACCAATATATACATAGTTTTCTTGTTCTTCAATCAAGTAGCAGCCATATTTAAAAAAACAAATGCTTGTGTGAGCAGCATTACAAAATCGAGCAAGTTAAAAGCAAAATGAAGCCTTCCCCACTATTACAGCTGAGCTGCACAAACATTTTATCATTGAAACACATTGCAAAGGGACTCATGAATCTGAACAGAGCTTCTTAGATTAGAATGGGAACATTATCCAGCACTGTTAAAAATATATCCTATCTGCGCAGCTTTAAAGAGGGTGGGAAGATTTAGCGGGACAAAAATATATCAACAAGAATATAGTATGAAATTGCAAGTGGACAACATTGCTACAGTAGCCATAGGAATAGTCACTATTTTAGCAGGGAACAGACACTATCTTCATTATTGCATCGCAACTTAAAATCAGAACTGAAATTCATTATCATCTTCAAAGGCTTTCAACATGGTTAACGCATCATGGTATGAGCTCATGTAATCGTATAATATAAACTCATATAATTATGGTAGGTTGTCACAGCTAAAAAAAAAAAAAGCCTTAAGTTAGCTTTCTAGATTTTGAAGCCAAAGGCTTCCTAAATATTCCTAACATATAGAAACATTAAATCTTCCATGGGCATCTTAATAGGTTATGCAAGATTTAGACTGTTAATACAGCCTAATATAGTTAATATACGACTCCATTTGCTCTTGCCAGATTTAACTCACTCCCTTCAGCAGTTATTGATGATAAATATAAAAAATCCCTTCCACAAATGACATTGCTCTGGTGACCCCCACACTATGAACGATGTTTGGCGTGTTCTGTTGCTTTGTAATTTCTATTTGAACATGTGTGAGATATTAATCCGGCCATAAAGGAATTCCCAGGGAGAAACAACCAATGGTATGTCTCCTATCTTTTAATAGACCATAACAGCATTATCGCCCATAACATTGCCATTTTTTGCCTCACTGCTGTAAGAGTGAGGCAACAAATACCGTCAAACAAAACTTCATTTCTTCGATAACTTTAAATCACCTTCCCCTCCCCTTCTTTTCTTCTTTAACGAACAGAACAGAACAGAACAGGACAGGACAGGACAGGACAGGGCAGAATAAAATAACAGAGTTAGAACAGTGGTGGGTTGCCCCCTGTTCACACCAGTTCTATAGAACCGGTAGGAGGCTCCGCCCACCGACCCCATCAGAACACTTCTGCGCATGCGAAGAAGAGCGCGTGTGTGAGCGTTGCGAACTGGTAGTAAAGGTAAGTAGAACCCACCCCTGAGTTAGAAATGACCTTGGAGGTCTTCTAGTCCAACTCCCTGCTCAGGCAGGAAACCCTTTCAGGTTGCAGGGGTCTGCAACCTTAAACACTCAAAGAGCCATTTGGATCCATTTCCCACAGAAAAGAAAACACCGGGAGTCACAAAACCCTTTCCATGCCTGACTATTTATTGAGCGGCCACAAAACTAGCATATGTAGTTGAATTAAATGTTCTGTTGTCTTCTGAAACTTTTCTTTTCTTGGATTTATCCATCGTTGGCCTACCAGGGGTTGAAAAGCTCAATAAATCGCATGCCAGCGGGTGTCGCACATTGGAGGTTGTGACACATATTTTGAGTGACAGGGAGCTGCAGCAGACGGGTGAAAGAGCCACATGTGGCTCCAGAGCCGCAGGTTGCTTACCTCTGCCCTATACCATTTCAGACAAATGGTTGTCCAATCTCTTCTTAAAAACTTCCAGTATTTGCTTATTTGAATTGATATCTTTAAGTAAATGTACACGTTTTGTCAAAAATCATAATAAAGGTCTATCTATGTAGGAGATGACCCAGGCTGAGAGAGGGGTCAAGCATGTCATCAGTCTTGAGACCCTTTGCACCCATAAGAGAACTAAGTCCAGCCCACCTTGAATTCAGTTGATTCTTATCTACTGCCAATCTGCCAAGTTCAGATTCTTGTACAGAGTGTTAGCAGGCAATAAGCCTGTATTCATTTGAGTTGCCTTGCATCCTGATTTTGTGTGCCTGACACTCTATCTCTATCTATCTATCTATCTATCTATCTATCTATCTATCTATCTATCTAGGGGCAGGTTTCAAAACCCATCACTACCGGTTCACTTGTGGGTGCGTGGGCGTCATGCGATGTTTCTGCGCATGGGCGGAGCCTCCTGCCACTGCCGCTACTGGTTTGCCCATTCCGGGGCGAATCAGTAGCAACCACCACTGTATGCATCTATCTGTCTGTCTGTCTGTCTGTCTGTCTGTCTGTCTGTCTGTCTGTCTATCATTAGACTCCAGACTCCTTGGATTTGAATGTGATCCAAAGTAGTTGTTTATAGAATGAAATTTCTGGAAACTTTTTTTTTCTCTAATGCGAGATACTGTGAAAGTAGGGCTTGTAATAGTTTCCCTATGTAAGAGTAGCATCATCAAAGTGTCAAGATAGCCACTACTGAATTTCTGGACTATTTCCAAAATGATTCAGAGGTTATCTAGAAAATATAAATACTGATACTGAATTTAGCTCCCTTCCTGTCCAAAACATGTTGCTTTTGCAAGTGGAGCATTACTATGAGTTAAGAAAACAAATAAATGTAATGTGCAATTATATAATACCAGATTGAAGAAGAAGAAACAGAAGGCAATTGCAGCCTACTATTGTAACACTACCAAGAAAACTACAGTGATCCATATATTACTGAAATACTCATTGTCATAACTTTTAATTGGGTGAAATGATGCACCATAGGGCAACAATTTTTAACCAAGTATTTCAAATGGGTTAACTTTCAGAATATGTCCAAAATCCAGGATCCATGATTCCTGAGGGAATGAAATTTTGAAAAAGCTGTGGCTGTTTTGGTGCTACTGGCTGCTGCTAAGCTGCTGCTGCTATTGCTGTGGTCACATCAGTAGTGGTTTGCCCCCAGTTTGCACCAGTTCTATAGAACCAGTAGTAAAATTGGTGGGAGACTTCGCCCACCAACCCTGACATCATCAAAATGCTTCTGCGCATGCACAGAAGAGTGCGTGCAGCCCCACTGCGAACCGGTAGTAAAGGTAAGTAGAACCCACCCCTGGCTTGCATGATATTCATTTTCAACGTTTGCTGACAGTTTCCCAGCCAGTTACATAATCCTTCTTTCTCTCCTCCACCCAGCAGCAACCACTCACCTGCCTGCTGGGAAGGGAAAGGAAGGATGGAAGGAAGATTTCTGTTATTCCCTGCCAGCTTCCTGCAAGGAAATGAGGAAGCCAACAGGAAGTTGGAATTTGCTCTCACTCTCTCTGTTTCTCAGTTTAGGTAAGGAAATGCCTCTGAAATGATGACCCAAAGGGGCACAAATTGCTTAATGATTATATAATGCCCCTGTATAGACAGGAACTACTACTTACTTCATTCCCAGGGTCATCCCTTACCATTTACTAGAGTGAGACTGTGATTTGAAGCAGCTGTTTTGGGGTATCATAAAAAGTGTTAGAATGCTGAGTTATTCATTTATTTTTATGTAATTTATTACTATTTTCCTAATTAGGCAGAGAGCAGGAATGCTTGTGAGGTTGTTCTGGATGCCAAAATATTTTGAAATGCTGGTAATAATAGTATCAGCTGGCAAAACACAGTTCTTTTCCTACAGTCCCACTTATGAAGAACACCGACATGGACAAACACGATTACGGTAATTCCTAATGTGAATTATTGCAACAAAGAACATGTACAAATTCAAAAATGACATGAAAATACTCAATCATGGCTTTCCACAAAGAGCTTGGGTCCTGTAGTTCCATTAAATGATGGATGGCTTTAAGCCTTTTAACAAAGTATTAATTCCAGAAGTTCCGGGTAGGCTATTTATCGATTGAAAATTGTAGCAGGAGACACTTATATTTGGATAATTTAAAAAATGTAAAATCTGAGCGAATGAATGAACTGGAAAAGTTTCAGTGCATATTTTTGATACATCTTATTTGTCAGAAATGAATACCTAAATCCATACATGATGAGTTCCGTTTTATTGTTCAAGCACAGGAATCTTATGCACCAGGTTATGACTAAATAAGATCCAATAGCATTCAAGGGGTGTCAAACTTCCCACTCTTGTGCCCATGTAGGGATTCCAAATTAATTCTCCATTTGACTCCTCTCCCTGGTTCAGCCAATCTCTCTCCAATATAATTGTGGAAAGACTAATATGTTAACACAGGGAAAAAAATTCCAAATGTCACCATTATAATTTATTATATGTCTTATCTCCACTAACTCCTGGATGATAATGTCAACACACACAGGCAGTAAAAGGGGATAACTGCAGAATCTAAAAATAACATCCCTAGGGGAAAAGTGAAAAGCTAGCAATAATTTTGAAAGCCTAATCCGTGACATTTTAATTGTCATAGTACACTATTACTATTGCAAATCCATCTTTCCAGTTGATAAAGATACCCATATAATTAAGTCAAATATGTTATATAGACCTTTAAAATCAGGTCTTATCTTGAATTGATATGAATATCCAGATGTAACAGTGTGTGTGTGTTTGTATGTCTGTTTGTGTGAGTGGGTATTATTTGGTGAATGTATTACTGTATAAACGTATATTTTTATATATAGCATTTAATCCATTTATGGATAGGACTAAACAAATAAATATCAACAAATTGGCTGTCTGTGTCTCATTTGAGTGTTTAGCAGATTAGGAGGAAATGTTTCTTTATGAAATGAAGAAACAACATTGCTGTTCTTAATTTGATGATGCTCATTTTTAAAAAAAGAAATAGAATATTACAGCATCTCAACTGTAAGATAAACTTCAACTCATATTAAGCTTCAAACTGAACAATTAACTGTGTTACTAACTGTTGACAAGTTATTTCAAGGCTTCTATTCTCTCTCGGAGAGGGTTTTTTTTTTTTTTTGCCTTTAAGCTGGCCTTGGAATGAAAATCCTTTCAAATAGAGGAATGTCTTCAATAAAACAGAACACCAGATTACCCTCCTAGATCAGCTAAAATATGTATCACTCAGCAACTACCAAACTTACTCTATTATTTTCTTGCCCTGTGAAGTGTGGTATTTTAGTCTCCAGTGTTACCAGGTGATGCTGACAGAGTAAGTACAACACTGTTGTAAATATTGGAAGAAGAGAACTGAACCATGAATAAATTTAGTACAGGTAGGTCCTTGACTTACAACCATTCATCTAGCAACAATTCAACAGCATTGAAAAAAGTGACCCCGCAACTGGTCCTTTGCATTTTTACAGCCATTGCAGCTTCTCCACAGTCACATGATCCAAATTTGGCCATTTGGCAACCGGCATGTATTTGTGACAGTTGCAAGGTCCCAGACTCATGTGATTGCCATTTGCGATCTTCTCGGCTGGCTTCCAAGCAAAATGAGCAAGGGAAGCTCAGTTCGGTTAACGACTACATGAATCACTTCCCAACTGCACTTCACTTTAACTACTGTGGCAAAAAGGCTATACAATCGTGCATGGTTCACTTAACAATCACCTTGTTTAGCAACAGAAATTCTGGTCTCCATTCTGGTCGTATGTCGAGGAGTGCCTGTACATCCTGAAAACTCCTCTGATTTCCATTAGCATGTTATGTACATAAGGACACACTTTTCTAACAAGGAAAATGCTTACATTTATGAAGGATAGATATTGTCAAGTCCAATGATGGGATTCAAATTTTTTTACTACCGGTTCTGTGGGCGTGGCTTGGTGAGCGTGGCATGGCTTGGTGGGTGTGGCAGGGGAAAGATATTGTAAAAATCTCCATTTCTTCCTGATCAGCTGGGACTCGGGAGGCAGAGAATAGATGGGGTGGGGCCAGTCAGAGGTTGTATTTACCAGTTCTCCAAACTACTCAAAATTTCCGCTACCGGTTCTCCAGAACTGGTCAGAACCTGCTGAATACCACCTCTGGCCAGGTCCCATAGATCTCTATTGGGAGGTTTGGGGATACTTTCACATGGGGTTTCCTTTATTCCTTTTCTTGTTTTGATGTACCTTTTGGGGAAATGGGAGGGGGGAAGAATGTACCTGGGCTGTTTTGTCTCAAGACCAGAGAAGTGAGATCGTGGCGCCTGGGAACTGCCTGTTATCTCCATCTCAGCCCGGAGTTCTCACAAGGTCTTTGCACCTTGGGATTGGCTCACAGTTGAACTGGACATTGGGAGGGGGCTCGAAAGAAACAGTTTAACCTAACACTCTGGCATGGGAAATTCAGATTCTGCCTACACTCTCTCTGCTATCACTGTCTTCCATTTTGAAATGTCTTTTGTTTCAAGAGTTCTACTTTCTTGAGAAGACTGGCAAGGCGGGCTCTTACAGATATAGTAATAGAGGTAGTCCTTGATTTATGACCATAATGGAGCCCAAAATTTCTGTTGTTAAGTGAGTCATTTGTTAAGTGAGTTTTGCTCCACTTTACATACTTTCTTGCCACAGTTGTTAAGTGAATCACTGCAGTTGATAAACTAGTAACATGGTCATTAAGTGAATCTGGCTTCCTCATTGACTTTGTTTGTCAAAAGGTTGCAAAAGGAGATCACATGACCTTGGGACACAGCAACAGTCATAAGTATGAACCAATTGCCAAGCGTCTGAAGTATGATCACATGGTCATGGGCATCGGTTCTGTGGGTGTGGCTTGGTGGGCATGGCATGGCTTGGTGGGTATGGTTTGGTGGGCGTGGCAGTGGAAGGATACTGTAAAATCTCCATTCCCACCCCACTTCATGGGAAGGGTACTGTAAAATCTCCATTCCCTCCCCACTCCAGCAGAAGGTTACTGCAAAATCCCCATTTCCTCCCCATCAGATGGGACTTGGGAGGCAGAGAATAGATGGAGGTGTGCCCAGTCAGAATTTTTACTACTGGTTCTCCGAACTACTCAAAATTTCTGCTACCGGTTCTCCAGAACTGGTCAGAACCTGCTGAAATCCACCTCTGGTCATGGGGCTGCTACAAAGTTGTAAGTGTGAAAAATGGTCATAAGTCATTTTTTTAGTGCCATTGTAACTTTGAACGGTCACTGAACCAACTGTTGTAAATCGAGGACTACATATATATATATATATATGTGTGTGTGTGTGTGTGTGTGTGTGTGTGTGTGTGTGTGTGTGTGTGTAAATATATATATATTTACAGTGTGCTCTTAATTTACCAGTATTCCAGGTATAGTTTGCAAAGTAGTATGCTGCAGATGGTATCCTGCAGATTCTATATCCCTTGGGCAGATTCAGCATGAGTTATATTCTTACATTAACCTGTTAATTAAAGACACAGAAAAATTTCACCAACAAAATGCACAAAGTGTTCATCATATTCTATCACATTTCAGTTTGATGGTAACAGTTCAAAAAACTGTGCAATATGCACTCAAAGTCTTTGCGTGGAAGTTGTGTGTTTCCAGTTTTTGGTAAGGGATGTCAGAAGACTTAGGGTTACTAGATGTTTGCTTTTGCCAAGCCAAGTCTAGTTTTGGAGGATCTATCATTGGGCCCTTCTTCAAAACCAGAAAAATATACCAGTTTCCAGATTGGGTTGGCTAGTTAAGAATAGCAACATGACTCATAGGAAACCCCTGCATTGACCACTCATTACATTTGTATAACCTCCAGTTGACTATCATAAAACAACTATTGGCTACCATCTAGCAGTCATCCAAAATATTTGCAGCCCAAATTATCATTGTTGTTATTAGTTGCGAAGTTGTGTCTGACCCATCGTGACCCCATAGACAACTTTCCTCCAGGCCTTCCTGTCCTCTACCATCCTCTGGAGTCCATTTAAGCTCATGCCTACTGCTTCAGTGACTCCATCCAGCCACCTCGTTCTCTGCCATCCCCTTCTTCTTTTGCCCTCAATCTTTCCCAGCATTAGGTTCTCTCCAGTGAGTCCTTCCTTCTCATTAGGTGGCCAAAGTATTTGAGTTTCATCTTCAGGATCTGGCCTTCTAAAGAGCTGTCAGGGTTGATCTCCTCTAGGACTGACCGGTTTGATTGCCTTGCAGTCCAAGGGACTCGGAGTCTTCTCCAGCACCATAGTTCAAAGGTCTCAATTCTTTGGCGCTCAGCCTTTCTTATGGTCCAACTTTCACAGCTATACATTGCAACAAATTACCATAGATCTAACTTAATTATGGTTGGGCAAAAATAGTCTTTGAAATTACTTCAGCTAATTAGACTTTCTGGATACTGCCTAACTACCTGATGTCATTTCTATCACTATTTTTCAGAGCACTTCCTGGTGGAATGGGAGATAGGGATCGAAGAGAAGATCTACTCCACTTTCCATTTCCTGCCTGACAGACAGGGGTCTTTTGCTTATTCACCATCCATTAATTTAGTTTGACCTAGAAATCATTTTGCTTAACAGCACAATAAAGAACAGGAAGTGTATGGAATTACAGAAATCTGATTCATTTCAGAAAAGCGTTTTCACATGTTTAACTTCCTTCTTTTAATGTTAGGAAATCAAGTTATGGATTAACATTAATAAATATAAAGACACATACAGCTTAATGTGTTCTAGGTTTATCCTTTTGGAAATCGAGTCATTCTAATATTACCTTTTTGTGAAAAGACTTTATTCTTTGCTTTCAGTTTTTGTGTGTCTGTGAATTTGCAAGCTAAGTGCCAAATCAATTGCTAGCGCTCATCTTTTCCTATCTTGACAGGGTAAATCGCTTTCATGTCCATGGCAGGAAGCAAAATACGCAAAACAAATTAACATTTATTTAAACACACACACACACAAACACACATACACACACAGGTCTATTATGATTCCCAGGTGTGGGGGCCAATTTGCCACACAGCAATTTTCATGTCTTTCTTTCTGAAAGCCAACATCTGCCAAATATATTGGCACTGATACAAGTTAGGATATAAATTTCCTTGTGAAGCAAGTCCTTCCATGATGAGTTGAGTGAATGCCGAACTCATAATTGTAAATTTCTGGGCTTATATATAATTTCTTTTAAGAAAATATATCTGGGAGAGATATTTTTATCTCTCTTTCCAGCTGAAAGTGGCAGATAAAGATAATTTTTTCCAAAGTATATAATCTCCAAGCATATAATTATTAAGGCTTTGAACAACATATTAACCACACATAACAGAGCTGTAGGAAGAGAAACTTAATAAGACAGGAGGCTAGAGTTCATATATTATGACAGGAAGCTGTTTTCATTCCATACTCTATATCTCACTCTTAATTCTTCTACTAGAAATATCCAAAGCTTATTGTGACTATGAGGACAAAAGTTGGTTCCCCAATTGCTTGTGATTTGCCTGATTTGGGTTTAGCATATTAGGCCTTTATACACAACAGACTGTGGTTAAACAAACCGTGGCATAAACCAGTGGGTAAACCCAGTCAAAATCTCTAAGACACACATTGTAAATGCAAAAATCCCTGCTAAAATGTTGCATTTAAAGAAAATTGGAAAAAGAAAGACATAAAAAGGCAGGTGGCACCTGATGATAGTTTCCAACCCCATTCTCATAGGCTCCAATTCATCACTGTGGCAAAAAAAAAAAAAAATAATAAAAAAAATCAGGGTACCAATCTTGTTTCTAGAGGGAAAGCTAATGGCCAAATTGCCCTCCAAAATGGTAGGACATATCAAACATGTAAGAAAATTATTCCAGACATAGTGGTAGATGGATATTACAGAAGAGGCTTATTTTATATCATACTTTCCTCTGACCCACACTTTCTCTTTCAACTTAAGTAAACAAGTAAACATTATCTAAAGATATAAAAGCAAAAACCACTCACGCCGTAATCACAAAATCTCCAGAACCGTAAAGCCAACCAACCTAAAATTTGCCATGTATGTTTCTCTTGGCTTCTAGGTGGTCACTAAGAAAGGATTTTTCGAAATGACCATCAGAGCATTAGTATTTCCTATATTATGATTAACATGCTCTGAATCTAATGAGTCCTACTGCCCCTCCCCACCTCAAAAGAAATATATGCCAAATGCAAAAAACAAGCAGAGGAGAGGAGTTTCACTTTCAGTTTTACTTTCACAGCAGCAAGCAGGGGATAGGATGGGGAGGCTTCTGTGGAGCAAGCCTGGGGAAAAGAAGAGGGATAGGATAGGATAGGCTTCTGTGGGGCAAGGCTGAGGGAGAAAAGGGGATAGGATAGGGGAGGCTTCTGTGGGGCAAGGCTGAGGGAGAGAAGGGGATAGGATAGGGGAGGCTTCTGTGGGGAAAGCCTGAGGGAGAGAAGGGGATAGGAGAGGCAGATTATAAATTTCAAGCTTTAACTGTCAATTTATCAAGCCCCATCACATAGTTTCGTAGTGAAGCACAGGTACCCAGCTAATTGATACATATGTCTTTTGCAGCATTATAGAACGTGCATCTTTGATCTCCAGGTTAAAAGCAGAACTGAGAACCATAACTTTTTCAGAGGAAGAAATTATGGGCTTTGATTGCATTACCTATTTCTGAAGAGCATGAGCTAGGGCACTGAAGTCACAACAAAAACTACATTTCACTGCATCTAAATATTAATTTCATTACAGAAATAGTGTTAATAAGATTAACTGCTGCACTTAACAATATTTCCAAGTCAGTGTCTGTATTTTATGGTGCCCTGTTGCGGCATCCAAACAAGACTTTGCAGGTTAAATGCCATCCAGAGATTTCATGTTTAGAACCCTGATAAGAATCCAACAGCATTTCAATTCCTCCTGAGCGAGAACCTGGACGTGACTTTATTGCTTAATAAAGACTTTTTTCATTTTTTTAAAAAAAAAATAGAAACGCTATGAAGGGTTCACGAAAACCCTGAGCTTAGTTTCAGGAAAATGTGTTAACTATGTTTGTTTGACAAATATTTTTAATATTATTTGCATTCCACACAACGGCTGTGAAGTATTCCTTTACTGTTAAGCTTTAGTTTGTTTTCATTTGACAATCAAGCTTAAAATATCAGTGGTGACTCTATGATGAAGTGCCTGCAGGAGCTACAAAATTATTATGGGCTTTTCTCACTGCAGGTATTACCTGAGAACTGAGAGCTAAGAACAAAAAAAAAAAACAAAAAAAACCTCATTCGTTCCGAATTTGTTACATATAAAACCAATAAATAGAACTGTGCTTTATGTTTGTTGAAATTCTATGGTACACATCACGAATGTCAAGAGAATCCCAAAACTGCACCTTTTCATTTGTGAAATATGAACTTTCCTCCTCTATTGAAAGAACAATGGAAAAGAAAGAAATTCTGTGACTGAACTTCTGGCCTCGATAGAGCAGCACCATTAGTCACGCTAAGTACCATCGGCAGGGTTAATAAAGCAATCTTTGTATGAGGTCTTCTTTAGTTGTTTTGAACAGCACATAGCATCTCTTGTCTTTGAAAGTAATTTAATGAGAAGGGACCTTCAACATTTTTTAGGAGCAGTATGGGGAAAATGTATAAATTGCTTATCAAAACTCAGCAAAATGTCACTTGTTTACATTTTTTTTTCCAACCTTGGGTTGTCTCGATAATAAACACGATTGTTGCACTTTATCAAAATGTTCAAAAACACTTCATTTGCTTTGTGCTGCAAATAGTTGACGTGTACTTTAAGTGAGGAGTGAAGCTGAGAAAATAGTGGCTTGCTTTCAGTATAGAAATGAGGTTTGGACCATGGAGCCCTGGGCTCACAATGCTGCCTTAGAGGCATTAACTCTATGTTAGCACTTACTCCCATCACTTGCTTGTTTATGCACATTTCTATATTTCTCTAACATGCATTTCAGTGTATGTGACTCTGGGTGGCTAACAACAATCGAAAACTGTACAAAAACATGAAACAATCTAAAACAGCACAAATACAAAAAAACACCCACAACACATAAATGGCACTACTACAGTATACAAACTACACATTCAGATCCCCAAGCCTGGTGACCAAAAACCACATCTTTAAGGCCTTGCAAAAGGCTGATGGGGCCTTTTAATCAAGATCCATTTAATCTCAAGATCCATTTAATCTCAATAACAGTAACAGAGTTGGAAGGGACCTTGGAGGTCATCTAGTCCAACCCCCTGCTCACACAGGAGACCTATACTAGGGATTCGAATTGCTAACCTTTCTGATCGACAAGCTCAGCATCTTAGCCACTGAGCCACCTAGCCAGGCTATTATCTCTGAAGGGATAATGTTCCACAAGGCAAGCATCATGACTAAAAAGTCTCTCTTCTTAGGTCTCACCAGACGGTGTTCCCTAATAGATAGGACCCAGAGCATTCCTTTCCTTCAGACTTGATGAAAGGGGTAGGCATAATCGGGGAGAGGGGATTGTACAACATGCACAATTTCTACCAAAAAAAATATCTCCCTTGTTATATTATATGCTATATACCTACAGTATGTAATATATTTTCATATTCTATTAAGGTTTGTTTTAATCTATTGTAAGCCACAAGGCCATCGTAATGATTATGCCCATGAATGCCTAAATGTGTAGGACAACTTTTAGTCATCTGATACAGAGGTCTTTATTAGAAACTTGTGAAAGCTGAAAATTGTCAAAGCAGTGAAGAAAAGAAATTATCCAGGGCTGCCCGATTACAAAGAAGGGATTGCAGTTAGGAATGTTGTGTAATTGAAAGAATGGAGAAGTCTCTGATAATCTTTTGCCTAGAAACCCAAGATGTCTTAGTATTTGATGTATGGTCATGCACATATACATTATTATAGTATCAGTGTACATAATTTGTGTCTTAGACAGGAAAGAACCAGGTTAAAAGCAGTGATTACAAAGCACTCGGCGAAAGCTTTCCCCAAACCATCAAAACTAGAGCTACCCCAGAATTCAACTCTAAAATAAAGTAAGTTTCCCAAATTTACCCTGAAAATATATAAATATACTATTTATTAGAGACAACCACCCTCACAATAACTTTAAATGACATCTTACAGTGGCAGAAGTTGCAAAATAATCGGATTTACAACACAGTTGTAGCTGCTTCTTTTAGCAGCCATGAATACAACACCTATTTTTAGAATAGAATAGAATAGAATAGAATAGAATAGAATAGAATAGAATAGAATAGAATAGAATAGAATAGAATAGAATAGAATAGAATAGAATAGAATTCTTTATTGGTCAAGTGTGATTGGACACACAAGGAATTTGTCTTTGGTGCATATGCTCTCAGTGTACATAAGGAGAATAAAATACATTCATCAAGAATAAAATTATACAACACTTAGTGATAGTCAAGGTTACTAATAAGCTATCAAATCATAATACTAATAACTTTATTGTCATTGTACGTGTATACACAGTATACCCATACAACGAAATTCACTTAACACCCAAAGACCAGGTCCAACACACATAACAATCTCCAAACACACTCCCACCCACCACAATTCCCCACCCCTAA